CAATCGATGTGAAAATGTCGATCTAGACCAAGTCCTATCACCCTTCACCGTAGTAGAGGTGACTTCCCATGCAAATATTTGGGTCCGCAACTCCACACTAGATCACTAAAAAGGTCCATGTGCAACCTCTCATTGAGCGTATTGGACAAAGGTTACCCAAATGGAAAGGAAGATGGATAAACAAAGCGGGACGCCTCACTCTAGTAACTTCAGTCCTCTCCTCCATGCCAACCTACCACCTCACAGTGTTTCACTTGGCGGCATGGGCTAAGAGGAAGATTGACAAAATCAGGAGATCTTTCTTGTGGAAGGGGGAGGAGAATGCCAATGGTGGACACTGCCTGGTTAACTGGCCAACAGTTACCAGACCGAAAGACCTTGGTGGCTTAGGCGTGCCTGACCTTGATAGATTTGGGAGAGCCCTCCGGTTGCGCTGGCTTTGGCAAGAATGGGTGGAGGACTCCAAGCCTTGGATCGGCTCAGAGCTTCCATGTACTGATGTTGATCGTCTCCTCTTCAACTCCTCAATCAACATAACTTTGGGTGATGGTGCAAAGACTCGGCTTTGGCACCATAATTGGCTTGAAGGAGAAGCTCCAAGGTACCTAGCCCCGAATTTGTTTCGGCTTGTTTCAAGGAAAAACTGAACAGTGCAACAAGAACTTCGAAACAACAATTGGATGCGCTCGCTAACAAGGAAAATCACCTCGGCTGTCCACATAGAGGAATTTGTGTCCCTATGGATACGAATTCAGGACGTGCACCTGCAGCAGGGCGTTCAGGACTCCATCACCTCGCAATGGACCCAGGATGGGACTTACTCCACCCGCTCAGCTTACAGAATTCAATTCAAAGGCTCGCTCGTCCTGTTCCGTACTGAACTCATTTGGAAAGCACAAGTGAAGAACAGATGCAAGATCTTTGCCTAGATTTTGGTGCAAGATAAAATTCTTACGGCGCACAACCTACAAAAGAGAGGGTGGCCACGCCAAGAACACTGCGTGCTGTGCAACGGTCCCTTGGAAACCGGCCTCCACCTATGTCTATGTTGCCCTTTTGCTAAGGCGGTTTGGGATCAAATCCTCTCTTGAGAAAACTTCACTCAGCTGCAACAACAACCCCAGCCAGACCCCATCCATATCAAAGCATGGTGGGAAGAGGCGGCAAGGAAAGTGCCGAAATCTGAACGTAGACGACTAAACGGGGTAGTAATCTACACCTTTTGGAATATTTGGAAAGAGAGAAATAGGAGAATTTTCAACAACGAGATAGAAACGGTGCCGCAAGGATAAAGGAAGACATAGAGCAAAGGAAGAGAGCACTTGCTTATGTTTAGCTGTTGTTTCCCCTTGGGGGGGGTGTTTCCCTCTTATCCCTGCTTCGGGGGGCTTTAAACTCTCATCTGGAGTGTCTTTGCTTGTACATAAACTCTCTTTCCCTATCTTAATTGAAAGGCAGAGCTCCTGCCATTGCGTTCAAAAAAAAGAAAAAGGGAGACTAGAGTATTTGGGGGAATTGAATTGTTTGTTCTTTCTTCCTTTTTTTTTATTTGGATTGTTTGTTCTTCATTCATTCCCTTCTTGGTACATCACCTCCCCTTTATATAGAGAGGACTCCTGGCCACCTAAGGAAGGCCCAACCCAATCATAACAAATCATATCCAATCCTTATCTCTAATTGACCCAAATCTAATCCTATCTCTAACTGATCAAATCTCTCTAATTGATCATGTGGCCCCTGGGCCCGTAATTGATGCCCCATAACAAGTTTTATAACTAATTTTAGGGAACATGCACTGGATACTTGATTATTTATTGTATTTAAAAGTTGTTTGCCCATTACATGCAATAATAACTATTTAACATGTATCTATGCATGCAAGCTGCTGTACAAATGTTATGTGGTAGCTTACAATTTGCCAATGAGATGATTAGTGCCACTCCTTTCATTAATATACTTTTTGCTTAAAAAAGAATTTCATTTACCGATTAGGATCATCTTTCAGATTTCAAGAGATTGTTCCACTCAATGCTGGGAATATATTTGGTGCTGAAGACAGTCGTCCAGTTGCAGTATGGGAGCACATCATCCGTGAAACGTTGAATAAGAAATGTTCAGATAAATCAGGGTTTAAGTGCCATAGTGATCCTCCTTCACTATCCAGGTTTAATCCATCAGATGTTGCTCTTTCCATGGAACATGAATTGCTTAGTGAGTCTGACAAGGATAGTGATGGGGAACTTCATCCATTGATTGACCAAGACCATAATTGTGGACTTCAAGATAAAACATATGAGAATCTTGAAGCTTTTCCAGAAGACGATTTAGCCTGTCATGTCATGATTGATAAGAGAGCAAAAAGGAAAAGGCCAGAGTTTGTACGCATAATAAGCAAGCAAATGGTGGGAATATTTCTTTCGATTTGGGTTCGGAGAAGCCTATGGAAGCACATTCAGAATTTGAGAGTATCAACCGTTGGTGTAGGTGCGATGGGTTATATTGGTAACAAGGCAAGTGCCAGATTTGATACTCTTTCCTTGTACTGTTTGTGTGGCTTCCGATTTCCGCAATAACTGGATTATACTTTGTTAGAAATTAGAACCTTAGGATGTTGCTTTTCACATTATGTGGTATTTTCTCCTGATGAGAATCAGGTTTAAAAAATGCATGTTTTGGTATTGGCATTCTTTCTTTCATGGACGCTGAAAAGGCAAATGGGACTTTTAAGGAGAGCTGATTAGCATTCTTCGATATGTTGTTCCTTTAAGTTTAAAATCTTCAAATTTGATTAGTCACCATGCTATTGTCTCACTCGGTATACATCAGACTTACCATTATATTCAACATGGATACACATGTCTGTCATCTAATCCAAAATACCTTGTGCTGACATATGTTCCTTCAATATGCTGTAGGGATCAATATCAGTCAGCATGTCTATACATCAGACTCCTTTCTGCTTTGTCTGTTGCCACCTGGCTGCTGGTGAAAAAGATGGAGATGACCTAAAAAGGAATTCAAATGTCGAAGAAATACTTCGAAGAACAGTGTTTAACCCAGTCAATGCTGTAGGCATGCCTATGAGAATACATGACCATGAGTAAGTTGGGTAATCTGCCTTCTGGTAATTCGTGCTATATTCCAAAGCTTGCACTCAATTATCCATGTTTATCTACTGTTATATGACAGGTACACGTACATCTCATGATGATACCCTATTGATGCTATGCCTGATTTCTTATGTTGAATCTCTGTCCTTACTTTCAGACAGATTATATGGTTAGGAGACCTCAACTATCGGATCAACTTATCCTATGAAAGGACACATGAACTAATCTCCAAACAGGACTGGGATGGATTGTTTGAGAGGGATCAGGTATTTGATGGACTTGTTATTCATTTACGTTCACATGGTTTCCAGCTCATGCTTCTTCTGTGACAGCTGAAAAGAGAATTGAGGAAAGGATGCACATTTGACGGTTGGTTTGAAGGAGTTATCAGCTTTCCCCCAACATATAAATATGAGTTTGACTCAGAATACTATGTGAGTGATGAGAGTAAATCTGGGAGAAGAACTCCTGCATGGTATGTTGTTCTTCTAACTTTTAGATCCATTCTAGTTCATTCAATCGTTCCAGAAATCAGCACTGAGCATGCCACCAGCAATAAGCAAACACTCTCATCTATGTGTGCAGGTGTGACCGCATTCTCTCATACGGGAAGGGAATCAGGCTACTTTCGTACAAGAGGGGGGAGCTTACACTTTCTGATCACCGCCCTGTGGCTGCAGTCTACGTGGCAGAGGTTGAAGTTTACCGCCGTAGAAAGCTGCAGAGGGCTCTAACATTACCTGATGCAGAGGTTGAGGACCATCTATCATCTTAGAAGGATGGGCTTGCTGAACAAAGAGGTTGTTGAACCACGAGACATGCAATTTCTAGCGCAAGTTCAAAGTGAGGTGGTGCCATTGCCAATGACAGTTTTTAGAACTCGTCAGAGAATGTTCAGTTGCATTAGATAATCTACCATCAGCAGCTTATTTATCATGGATTATTTTTGCTGCACGCTTGTTTGATCAAGAGCATCTCAAGCATCATGCTTTGATGAAAGCATCACAAGCATTATGCTCCATGACATAGTATCTTTTGAAAAAGTTGCCAAATTTGTTCATAATATTCTTTCTTGTCTTCAACTAGGAAGAGATGGTTCAACTTATTGTTTTTTGAATATCTTTAGTTAACATCGAGCTTCTGTTCTTGCTAGCCTGATACTATTTGTCTAGAAAGTAGAAACTCATTAGAACTTCATAATTGTGTATACTTATTTTTTTGGGTGTGACTACTGACTATTGTCCTACAACAGTCATTAGAACTTCGAGTCAACAGTCAACTCAGCCGCCAGCCCTCCACAAGGATGGCTCCGCTGTGTGCCGTGGCTCCCTGTGTGTCGAACAAAATCTGATTTCAAACCATAAAAATGGAACAGAAATAAACCAAAGTTTTTGTGGATTGATATTTCCACTAATTCCTGGATTGAACAAGTTCATGGCTGGTGCAAGCGGTAGAGTCTTACCACTTATGACCGGAAGGTCCTGCGTTAAGTCGCGGTCTCCTCGCATTGCATAGGCTAGAGTAAGACTTGCCATTGACACCCTTCTCCGGACCCCGCACAAAACGGGAGCTCTCTGCACTGGGTATGCCCTTTTATACCCAGCAGTAGGATCGATGAGCTCTAATTCTAATCAAGTGAGACCACATCTCAGAATCATGAATCACCCTGATTACGATGAAACCAACAGCACATATACGTGATTCTATCTGAATATTGTCAGTTGTCACATCACAGCACAGAGATACATATAACATTACAGTAATACTAACACAAGCTGAACATGCGCTTATTATCAGAGAAAAGACGAGGTCCTTTTCATCTCAATCCAGGTGAAAGACTACTGTCTGACATCATATTACTGCTGAATGACTAGGCATTATGCAAGGGCATTACTTCTCGTCCTTCAAGAGAGATGCAACAAGTGGTGTCTGAACATCGTTGGATGACCCAATGCAAATGATGTCCGCCTTCACACTCAACTTTGATCCCACGAGGTAGCCTTTGGAAGGGTCCTTCAGTATCTTGAGTGGAATGAAGTCTGCCCATCCCCATCCAAGATTTCCATTGAATACAAAGCGACCTGCAGTTGCCATCACGTAAGACCACACGCATGAAACACCGGTTAATTCATTCACGAAATCACGACACGTTAGTAGGTACTCCTAGATGCCAAGAAGAGCTGAAACCTGCACGGCTGTAGTGTTGTCCCTGCTCTTGGTTCAGGATGGACAGGGTCACTTCAAACATCTTCCCGGACTCATGAGAAAGCTTAGCCGGGTCATGCATTACCAGGTACATGGAAAGTGAATCTGTGCTGTATTGGTTACCGAGTGGATGCATCCGGATGTGCCTGAGACAGAATGAAAACAATCTATTATGACAATTCATTCATATACTTGATAGGAAAGAAAGTAAAAAAGCTAGCAGACATAATTAAGCACCAGACGTGTTGATTCCATTAAATGACGGGGGTGAATTTTCACAGCATATAAGCGCCAGACATAAAAACCGGGATTAAGCTTGTCAGTCTAACTAGACAAGTTAAACTCAATGATATCTCTACACCGAAACAAGTAATAGCACGAGACGAGTAATATAATACAATAGAAAAGTGGCAAATGCAAACCATTTGTGCCCACTGGCTTCAAATGCGGGAGAAAGGACTGAGTCCTTCAAGGCAAGGAAGTTGTTCACGTTCCAGGTGTAATTTCCTTTGATGAATTCCTTCTTCTGCAGAAACAGTTCCCAAATTGTGATAGTATTATCTGGAGCCACAGCAAGGCTGTTTTTAGGAGAGACATCTGCTTGTAATATCCTCACACCAAAGACACAGCTATCATCGACCAGAAAATCAGCTGATTTCAGTAGTTCTTCAACAGTAATCAGGCATTTCTTCTTCGAATGAAACTTCTTGACATCGAAGTTGTACCTAGCTGTTTATAGAAAAAAAAAGTTGAAAATATTAGACAAGTAGGAACTTGTTTGTAAACTACAGATAATGTTAGCTAATCTACTGTCACCTTGTGTGAAACACAGCAGAGGAAGGCGGCATCGACTTTGCCCCCTGCTGTAATACTGTAGCCGCTGCAGGTGCAGGCGCCGCACGGCTCACCTGCAGCACTGTAGGCACATGCAGAGGCCGGCGTAGAGTCAGCCCTGTATGCTTATCTAGTTACTGTTACAGCATGTGCGCTGTACTTTAGTTAGATAGATAGAGTTGTATAAATAGGGCACCAAGGCAACTCAGTAAAAAGAGCTCAGACTTGCCATCACACAGACAGGGCCTCGGCCAACGTTGTTGTCTTGTATTGTGCGTGCTTGCTCTGTTCTCCCTTCTTCTTCTAGCTCGATCCGTAGTGTGTGGGTACGGACACAACCGGTATAGTGGTCTGGGAGACTAGTGGTCTGGTCTGAAGACTAGTGGTCTGGTCTGGGAGACTAGTGGTCTGGTCTGGGAGACTAATGGTCTGGGAGACTAGTGGTCTTAGACTAGTGATCTAAAGACTAGTTCACTATCCTCGACGGTGATCCCGTGGGCTAACAAGTGGTATCAGAGCAGTACAAGCGCCGTCGTCATTCTAACCGATGGCGAGGACAGGCGGTTTGGAGTTGGGCGATGGCAGTGGCACTGTCATAGCTGCCCAGCCACTAACGGAGGTAGTTGTCCGCACGGTGCGGGAGGTCAGCGGCACCACTTGGCCGACGCTGACTCGCACTAACTATGGAGAGTGGTTGGTGACCATGAAGGTCAAGTTCAGAGCCCGATGGCTCTAGAATGCTGTTGACAAGGGCACCGACGTAGAAGAAGACGACATGTCAGCGTTGGAGGCTATCCTCGCTGCTGTACTGGCGGAGTACAGGGAACCGTCGGGGACGAAAAGCTCAGCTAAGGAGGCGTCGAAGGCCATTGCGGCAATGCGCGTCGGTTCCGACCGCGCAAAGAAGGCGACGGCCCAACTTCTGAAGCAGGAGTACGCAAACCTCAAGTTCAAGGATGGTGAAACGGTGGAGGACTTTTCCCTCTGCCTGCAGACGCTCATCAGCAAGCTGAAGAGCCACAGCGTCACCATCGATGAAGAGGAGGCGGTCTCCAAATTCCTCCACTCCGTGCCGATAAAGTACATCCAGATCGCTCTCTCCATAGTGACGATGCTGGACTTGTCCACCCTCACCATCGAGGATGTGGCAGGCCGTCTACGGGCGGTGGACGAGCGCCTGGAGCAGGCGACAGCAACGAAGGACAGCGGGAAACTCCTGCTGACGGAAGAGGAGTGGGCTGCTCGGCGAAACTCCAGGAAGGCAGCCTCCTCCAGTCACGGTGGCAACGGCAAACATCGCGGCAGGGCTTCTTCGGAGAAGAAGCAAATTGACTCCAACGCCTGTCGGTGTTGCGGAAAGATGGGCCATTGGGCACGGGAGTGCCCAAATCGCAAGAAGGAAAAGAAGGCTCAGGCTCACCTGGCGAAAGCCGATGATGAGGATGAGGCCACTATCCTTATGGCGACGTTCTGTGCACTGCACGACGTCGAGGCCATGGAGAGGGAAGAGGCGAAGACGGTGGAAGGATCTAGCAAGGCCCTGAAGACCGTCAACCTCGACGAACCACGAGCCCAAGTCCATCTTGGGCATGTGGGCGTCGACCAGGAGCAGCGGTGGTATCTAGACTCTAGTGTTAGTAACCACATGACGGGCTCCAAGGACTCCTTCTCCGAGCTCGACGGTGATGTTACCGGTACGGTGAAGTTTGGTGACGGCTCAAGGGTGGCTATTCAAGGGCGCGGCACCATCATCTTTAGATGCCAGAACGAGGAGCACCGCACGCTAACCGATGTATACTACATCCCGCAGCTGCGTTCCAGCATCATCAGCATTGGTCAGTTGGATGAGCGCGGTAGCGAGGTTCTGATCAAGGACGGCGTTCTGAGGATCAGAGACCGGGAGCAGCGACTTCTCGCCAAGGTGAAGAGGTCCCTGAACCGGTTGTACCTGCTCGACCTGAAGGTAGAGCAGCCGGTTTGCCTGGCGGCAAGGCACTCCGAGGAACCGTGGATGTGGCATGCCCGGTTCGGACATCTCAGCTTCGACGCGCTTGGTCGGCTAGGGAAGATGGTCCGAGGGCTACCCCACATCAAACACGGAGGCAAGCTATGTGACAGCTGCCTGGCCGGGAAGCAGAGGAGGCTACCTTTCCCAAAAGTGGCCAAGTATCGCGCGAAGGAAGCTCTCGAGCTAGTTCACGGCGACCTCTGCGGGCCGATCACGCCTGCTACATGCGGTGGTCGGCGGTACTTCCTCCTACTCGTGGACGATTGCAGTCGCTACATGTGGCTGCAACTCCTGATGAGCAAGGACGAAGCGGCGGTGGCGATCAAGAAGTTCAAGACACGCACGGAGGCCGAGAGCGGCAAGAAGCTCCGTGTACTGAGGACTGATCGGGTGGCAAATTCACTTCGGTGGAGTTTGCTACGTACTGCGCGAATCAAGGTGTCGGTGTTTCGGAACCGGGGGTCCTTAACTGACTAGTGAATTTGTGCTGCGTGCTCCCAATTCCGGATGAAGATGCAAAGAGACACAAGGTTTATACTGGTTCGGGCAATGGATGCCCTACGTCCAGTCTGAGAAGATGTTCTTGTATTCCTTGCACCGGGGTGCTCGTTGTAGGGGGTTACAAGCTAGGCGAGAAAGGGAGTTCGTCCCGTGTCTCGTGTGAGGAGGTGCTATGAATTACGTAATGAGGCGTGTTGTTCGTGCGGTATTCGTGATTCTATCCGTCGTCCTAGAAACGGTCCCGCTGCCTCCTTTTATAGCCGCAGGGGAGGAAACCAGAGTACATAAGAGAGCTACACGTGGAGCAAGGACTATTCGATGACGATATTTACTCCTGCAAGCATGGCGTTGTCGTGGGAGTTCCCGTAGATGTCTAATCGGTATGGTCTCCACTCGCAAGTAACATGCTTTGTGCATTTGTTGACTTGGTGGATTGCGAGGCTTGGCGGCCATCGTGGCCGGTCGTGCCGAGAGCTGTCGTGCCGAGGCTGTTGTCTTGAGGCTCGCCGTGCTTGAGGCCCCGAAAGTGACCCAGTGCGGATCTTGGTCTCAAAGCAGCCATCGGCGGAATAGTGCGAGACGTGATAAGCCTCTGGATACTGATACTGTATTGTCGATGAAGGGATGGTAGAAAAGGTGATCGACCGTTGTCCCGTCGCTCTGTTCTGCAGCCAAGACCGCCGATCGTGGCTTATGTGAAGGTGCTTGGTGAGCGCATTAATTGGATGCGACGACCGCCAGAGACTTTTTTGAGGCGGAGGCGACGAGGTTGCAGGGGCGATTTGGCCTCCTCGGCGAGGCGGAGCGTGTGGTTCGTCCGAGGCCCTACCGGGGGGTCCCGGCGGCGGACGGCGGCGGCGGAGTAAGATCGGTGAATCCGAGGCCTCGTCGAGGGGCTCGGCGAGACGGAGCGGTCGGTCCGCTGATTCCGAGGCTATAGGAACCCGCTCGACTCCCCCACGTTATGATGTCCTTGGTGCGAGTTAGGCGCACCACGGTGGTGGTAACCCTGCTGCTGCGCCGCGTCGCAGCAGATGGCGGGAGGTTGACGCGACTAGCGTGTAGTCGGTCACTTCGCTATCTTTGTGCCATCGTAAGGCCTGTCGGAGTGGTTGGGCGCTTGGATGCGACGTTCGGTCAGAGCAGTTTGGTTGAAGAGGCGGCCACGGGGCTGGTGCCGAGCCGGCCTCGCGCGAATCGGAGAATCGGCACTTCTTCCGAGGCCCCGGGCGAGGGGGCCTCGGCGAGGCGGTCTCGGGCGAGTCGGAGAATCGTTCGCTTCCGCTGGGGCTCGGCGACGGGGTCTCGGGCGAATCGAAGATTTCGGCCGAGACCTCGTTCGTTTATTCCGTTGGTTATGTTATTAGGGTCTAAGCAGTTTTTTCGTCCTTTGCTTGGGGTACCCTATTTTCGGGTATCCGACAGTAGCCCCCGAGCCTCGGGCGGGAGTGTGGGATACTCTCCCCGAGGTTTTTTTCGAGACTTTTGTTTCTCAGTGGCTCTTGTCGGGTTCGTTTTATACTCACGATTCCGGTGGGTGCGCGCGAGCGCACCCGTCGGGTGTAGCCCCCGAGGCCCTAGAGGAGTGAGTTTACTCCTTTAGGGGCTTTTTCTTTGTTGAGTAAGGCGCTCTATCGCATTTGCTTGACCCATGAGAGCAAGCTCGGGTCGCTTGTTTGGGGTGCAGGAGGAGCACCCGAGCCTGCCGAGACCTCGCGCGCGATCCTAGGTCGCTGGGTCTCGGCAAGGTTTGCAGGAAGAGCCCCCGAGCCTCCGCACGGAGCGAGAGGGTGGTTTGCAGGAAGAGCCCCCGAGCCTCCGCACGTGGCGAGAGGGCGATCAGGAGTTCCCCTGGCTTTTTGTACGACCCTCGCGCATCCTTTTTGCTCGGAAGGAGGGGTTGTTTGCTGAGCCCTTCGCGTGCGAGCCTAGGCCGCTGGGTCTCCGCAAGGTTGCAGGAAGAGCCCCCGAGCCTCCGCCCATAGCGAGAGGGCGATCAGGAGTTCCCCTAGCTTTTTGTGCGACCCTCGCGCATCCTTTTCGCTCGGAAGGAGGGGTGGAACATGCCAGGCTACCCTCGATGGGCGCGAGCGGTGACATTTCCGGTGAGTTTTTATCGGGTAAGTCCGAGTGGAGGCCCGTGCCCCATTCGATAGGGGTCGGCTAGTGGTCCAAAGACGCGCTGCAAAAAAGTACCAGAAGGCTTCTCTAGCGGGTGCCAGGGCCGTTCGATTGGCCCTAGGGGCTCGGTGCCTCCCTACGGTGGGATCCCCTTTAGAGAACTCCTGCTGGTCTCGGACACGACTTAGGGCATCCCAAGCAATCGCTTGCCTGGGCCTCGGCCATGTACGGGCTCGCCCATAGTTGTCCCTGACTCTGTCGTCCT